GCTAAGTGGTTAGGCGCCCCCTGGTACCAAAAAATTAAATAAACAGACAAACAAAAGGCCTGGGGATGTAGCTCAGTGGAATATCATTCCTAGGTTAAATCCCTAGTACAAAAAAAAAAAAAAAAGAATGATGACTCAACTAATTTTTTTTTTTTAGTTGTAGTTAGACACAATAATACCTTTGTTTTATTTATTTATTTTTTATGTGGTGCTGAGGATTGAACTCAGGGCCTCACGTGCTTGCCGAGTTCTCTACCTCTGAACCACAATCCCATCCCTTAACTAAAATTTTAAAAGAAATAAATATTGAAGATGAACATGCCCTGGGAAAAGCAATACAGTTGCTTAGATTCATAGTTAGATGTAAATTATATCAAATTCTATTTTTTTAAATAGAATTTTGTTTCATCAAATTCAGATTTTTTTTTTTTTCACCAGGAAAGGACACAAAAAAGCTTAAGTATGATTGTGGACAGAGTAGAAAGGGAGCCTGAGGGGAAAATTTGCCACTGAGCAGCCCCTTTTTTGCCTCTATTCCAATTTTGATTAGGTTTAGTTTGTGAGGAACAAGGTGGAAGGTTTGAAGGGAAGGATAGTCCTCTAATACTGTAGTTCTCATCCTTGGCTATATGTACATTATTTTGCTTCTTTGCTTCTGTCTTTGTTTTTGTTTTTGTTTCTTTGGTGCTGGGGATTGAACCCAGGCCTTCCCTCATGCTAAGAAAGTATTATACCACTGAGCTACACTTCCAGCCCCTTACTTGTACACTGGAATCACTGAGGAGCTTTTCAAAAATACTAATCCCTGGATCTAACCCTTAGGGATTCTTACTTAATTTAGTTTAGGGCATGGCCTGAACATCAGAATTCTTAAAAGCTCAGGGTAATTTTGAATTATAATTGAATTATGTTTGAATTATAATTGCTACAATGTCCAATAGTTTGAGAACCACTGTTCAAATATGCTTGCTACACTTCCACACACAACCCACCTATTTTTCTCTTTGTTCCCCCTAACCATTCTCTCCCAAGCCTAAAGCCTCAGTGTGATGGGGCACCAAGTTTAGAGGGGGAAGCCACCTGGTTTCCTTTCCCTTTGTCATTTCTGCTCTTTGTAAATTTAAACAAGCATGTCCAGGTCTTAATTCTATATCTACCCTAGACTCTGCATGTGACCTCACTTTATCTGCTATCTAGGGACACCATAACCACTTAGTTTGTTCCTGTGTTTGTGACTTTATTCATGTCTGCATAAGAATCCTGTCCCCCTTTTCAGGATCTACAGTGAGTGTAAAGTACTGAGAAGTGGAGGGTTCCTCTTACAGGTGGCTGTTGATCTGTCACCTTTCACCAGGGGCTAAATTTACCTTAAAGAAGAGTGCAGATCAAATTTCGCATCAGAAAGCACGTTTCATTAAAGAGTAAAAAAGGGGACAGTGTTTCCCAGGAGAAGATGAAAAGAAAAGAATTTCTTTTCTTGTCAGAAGATTTGACAAAACAGTAACTGGATATCAAATGTTCCATGCTAATTAACAAATGCTCAGTAGAAAGTCTCCATCTGATTCCCTCTCCCTTACTCAGGCCAGAGAGCAAATGGCAGGTAGGAGCCACACAGGGCCCTTTCTCTAGCCACACAATGTGATGTGCTTGAGAAAGCACTGGATAGGAGTCAGAATTGTGAATGCCTGCTTCAGTGAGTTACTGTGTGAACTTGGAAAAGTCACTTAACCTCTCAGAGCTTCAATTTCCTTATCTGTAAAAATAAACCACATTGTATTAAGCTGTGACTTTCTGTAATTAAAACAGACCCTTTCTTCCTCATTTGGAAGGGCCAGGTCTGCAAGTAGAGAACCCACCTGTTTCAGAGCTGTGATTCAAAATGCTAAGATCCTTAAGGTTACCTGAAGTTTCAAAATATAATTGATTGTAAGATGGTTTCAGTTTGTAAAGACAGGCAAAATTTATGTTGAAAATACAGTGGATGTTATTAATATTTTAATTGGGTTGTATGAGCTCTCCTCCCAATGACTCCTTATCCCTGACATATGCCAATATTAACCAATATCTTAACTCAGAAATTAATAAGGTTGGGGATGGTGGTGTAGCTCAGTGGTAGAATGCTTGCCAAGCATTCATGAGGTCCTGGATTCAATCCCTAGCACAGAGAAAAAAATTAATAAACAATACAAAAAACATCTCATTTTAGTATATGTGTGTTTTAGGTTAATTTGATTATTTTGCATTGACAATGTTAGCTCTCTAATCCATAATATTTAGGACTCTCCAAACTTAATAATGCCCATATAAGGGCTGGGGGTGTGGCTGAGCCATTCCTAAAGTTCTTCCTAGCATGCTCAAGGTACTGAGTTTAATACCCAGACCACCAAAAAAAAAAAAAAAGGAGGGGGGGATATTGGGATATAGTTCAGTGGTTGAGTGCTTGATGCAAGGCCTGGGTTCATTTTCTAGCACCAGGAAAAAAAAAAAAAAAGAGGAAAAGAAAGACAGGCTGGTTATACTACTACCACTTTACAAAAAGGGAAATGGTAAATAGATGAAGGAAAAGAAGTCAAGTAGAGAAAGGAGAATGAGGGGCAGGTCAGGAGAGAATAGGGAGGATCATGAACTGAAATGGATTTCCTTGGATGTGTGAGTTTTTTGGATTGAACTACTATTTATACGACTCTAATAAAAACAAAAACAAATAACAACAACAAAAAAAGGGAAATAGTGGCATAGCATGGCCTCAGTTTACCACCCAGGCAAGGTGAGTTTACTGATGCCCAAGCAAACCACAAAACCAAGGACCTGTGATTACTTTGTGTGTGTGTTACTGGGGAGTGATCCCATGGGTGTTCTACCACTGAGCTGCATTTATTTTTTGAGAGACTGGATCTTGCTAAATTGCTGAGACTGGCCTGAGCGCCCCTCCCCATCTGGGATTACTAGAAGTAGCAGAAATTATGTCAATACTTCTCAAATGTAAAATAGTGGGCTGGTGTGGTGGCATGCGCCTCTAATCCAAGCTGCTCCTGCTCTGGAGGCTGAGACAGGAAGATCTTGAGTTCAGTCAGCCTCAGCAATTTATTGAGGTCCTATGCAAATCAGCAAGAACCTGTCTCTAAATAAAATCCCAAAAAGGGCTGGGGATGTGGCTCCGTGATTAAGCGCCCCTGAGTTCCATCTCTGGTACCCAAAACAAATAACAACAACAACAAAAATCAAATGTTAAATAGTGTTTTAGGAATTAGAAAACCTTTAGGACTCATTTCAAGGCAGAAAGGGAATGCAGACTACCTGGCCCAAGACTCATCTTATTTAGCCCTACCTAACCTCTTGCTGAATGTGAGGCACCTCCATGGGCCAGAGCAGGTGTCAGTCAGGTCCAGGCATTCAAACCAGGTTGTTGGGGGGAAACGGATTTAGGAGAGGCTGCCTGGTAGCTCCTACTGCATTTTCTCCATTGTTTCAGGAGAAGTTCCCCTCCCCCCCCCAGCTGGGTGGGTCTCGGTAGGCCTCTGCAGGCAATCTCCTCAAACCCACTGTCGGTTATAGGGACAGTGTGCAAGTGTTGAAAGAGAACACAGGGGACAGAGAGTAGAGATGAAGGTACTAAATAGAAGACCGGCTTCTTAAATAAGCATGAACTTTATAAATTAGGTGTTGGCCCGGTGGTCTGTACAATAGTTTGCATTCAGCTATTATTCTGGGGGAGGAGGGGAAGAGAGTGAAGGGGCTTCGTATTCCACAGACAGAAGACCTGAAATGACTCCCTTGGAAATTCTACCTTGCAACCTCTCACCAAGTGAAACTTCTTTTGTGGAGAGGGATTGGGGGGGGGGGGGGGGGGTGGGGTGAGAATGGAAGTGAGGGGCAAAACTTGGGAGTAAGAGGGGGGGGTTGCTGATGAGGAGGACATTTGGGGCTCCTCCTCCCCCTCTGGCCCTGAGACCCCTAAGAAGATGAGACTACCCTTTCTCTGGAAGCCACGTTTTCCAGGCTCTGCGGATCCTTTATCCAAAGAAAAATAAGAGAAGCCTATCGCCTTGCTCTATTGAGCAGGGCTACGTTTCCCACTGTGCCCCTTGAGCTTAGGCGGAGGTGGGGGGGCAGGCCTGGGCAAAGACATCTGGGAACGAGGGGGAGCTGGCAGAGGATAAGGAAAGGTGGACCCCCACCGTACCTCACAGCACCTGACAATAAGCCTCGGGAAACCCTCTGAAGCTCAGGGCTCCTGCCCCCACAACCCCCTAAGTACTGTGGCTCGCGTCTCCGGCTCTCGCTTCCCTCCCCAGCAGCTCCTCCCCACAAACTCTCCTCCCCCATCTCCCCTCTCCCCTCTCCCAGCTTTCTCGCTCCAGCTCCTCCCCTCCTCCGCGCCTCCTCGCTCCCCTCCCCCTCCGCCGCTGCTCCCAGCCCCCGCCGCCGCCGATCTCCATCTCCGCAGTCTGGGCCGCTGGGTGCAGAGCCTGCCGCAGCCCCGGCGGCCACGGTCGCTTCCTCAATCGTGATACCCATTGTCTCCCACCCCGTCCGGCCCTCCGCTTCCCCGACAACCATGGCGCACGAAGCCGGGAGGAGCTCTCGTCTTGGGGGGCCCTGCGGGGAACCTGCGGAGCTCGGAGGTGCGGTAGGGCCAGGCTCCGGCAGAGGTGAGGAGGGAGGGGACGCGCGGGGGTAAGGACTTCAGGTGGGCGGGATACAGGCATAATTCTCTCCATAGGTTGCAGTCCTCACACCCATTCCCACTCCCCAGGGCCAAGAAAGGGGTGTTGGGGGGGGTGAGGTGACGGAGGAGGGAGTGGAGTGTGCGTGACCACCACCCCCACCCTTACTCGGGTGAATCTCTTCACGAGGTTCAAGACTGAGCTCTAGCCTTATGCGTGGCTTAAATGGTGAGCTCATCTCCCCACCCCCAACTTGCGGCTCTGTTGTTAATTAGAGCCTCTGTTTAGCCAACCCAACGCACCACCCACGCTCTCTTCTTGTCCTCTTCCCAGGTGATGCTAGCGAGGAGGACCACCCCCAAGTCTGTGCCAAATGCTGCGCACAATTCACGGATCCAACTGAATTCCTCGCCCATCAGAACGCATGTTCTACTGAACCTCCTGTAATGGTGATAATTGGGGGCCAAGAGAACCCCAACAACTCTAATGCCTCCTCTGAACCCCGGCCTGAAGGTCACAGCAGTCCCCAAGTCATGGACACAGAGAACAGCAATCCTCCAGAATCCGGGTCCTCTGGGCCGACTGATCCCACCTGGGGCCCAGAGCGGAGAGGAGAGGAGACTTCAGGGCATTTCCTGGTCGCTGCCACAGGTACAGCGGCTGGGGGAGGTGGGGGCCTAATCTTGGCCAGTCCCAAGCTGGGAGCAACCCCATTACCTCCAGAATCCACTCCTGCACCCCCCCCTCCACCACCTCCCCCTCCACCCCCAGGTGTAGGCAGCGGCCACTTGAACATTCCTCTGATCTTGGAAGAGCTGCGTGTGCTGCAGCAGCGGCAAATCCATCAGATGCAGATGACTGAGCAAATCTGCCGGCAGGTGCTGCTGCTTGGCTCCCTAGGCCAGTCCGTAGGTGCCCCTGCCAGTCCCTCAGAGCTACCTGGGACAGGAACTGCCTCCTCCACCAAACCCCTACTACCCCTCTTCAGCCCCATCAAGCCTGTTCAAACTGGCAAGACACTGGCACCTTCATCCTCTTCCTCCTCCTCCTCCTCAGGGGCAGAAACTCCCAAGCAGGCTTTCTTTCACCTTTACCACCCACTGGGGGCACAGCATCCCTTCTCTGCTGGAGGGGTTGGGCGAAACCACAAGCCTGCCCCTGCCCCCTCCCCTGCCCTTCCAGGCAGCGCAGATCAGCTGATTGCCTCACCTCATCTGGCATTCCCAGGCACCACAGGACTACTGGCAGCACAATGTCTTGGGGCAGCCCGAGGCCTTGAGGCCACTGCCTCCCCAGGGCTCTTGAAGCCAAAGAACGGAAGTGGTGAGCTGGGCTATGGGGAAGTGATGGGTCCCTTGGAGAAACCAGGTGGAAGGCACAAATGCCGCTTCTGTGCCAAAGTATTTGGCAGTGACAGTGCCCTGCAGATCCACCTCCGCTCCCACACCGGTGAGAGGCCCTATAAGTGCAATGTCTGTGGCAACCGCTTTACCACCCGTGGGAACCTCAAAGTGCATTTCCATAGGCATCGCGAGAAGTACCCACATGTGCAGATGAACCCACATCCAGTGCCAGAGCACCTCGACTACGTCATCACCAGCAGCGGCCTACCCTATGGTATGTCTGTACCACCAGAGAAGGCTGAGGAGGAGGCAGCCACGCCAAGTGGAGGTATGGAACGCAAGCCTCTGGTGGCCTCCACCACAGCACTCAGTGCCACAGAGAGCCTCACACTGCTCTCCACTGGGGCAGGGACTGCCACAGCTCCCGGGCTCCCTGCTTTCAATAAGTTTGTGCTCATGAAAGCAGTGGAGCCCAAGAGTAAAGTTGATGAAAACACTCCCCCAGGGAGTGAGGGCTCAGCCATCAGTGGAGTGGCAGAAAGTGGCACTGCAACCCGCATGCAGCTAAGTAAGCTGGTAACTTCACTACCAAGCTGGGCACTGCTTACCAACCACTTCAAATCCACTGGCAGCTTCCCCTTCCCCTATGTGCTAGAGCCCCTGGGGGCCTCACCCTCTGAGACATCCAAGCTGCAGCAGCTGGTAGAAAAGATTGACCGACAAGGAGCTGTAGCAGTAGCCTCTACTCCATCAGGGGCCCCCACCACCTCTGCCCCTGCACCTTCATCCTCAGCCTCTTCTGGACCTAACCAGTGTGTCATCTGCCTCCGGGTGCTGAGCTGTCCCCGAGCTCTACGCCTGCACTATGGTCAACATGGAGGTGAGCGGCCCTTTAAATGCAAAGTGTGTGGCAGAGCCTTCTCCACCAGGGGTAATCTGCGTGCACATTTCGTCGGCCATAAGGCCAGTCCAGCTGCCCGGGCCCAGAACTCCTGCCCCATCTGCCAGAAGAAGTTCACTAATGCTGTCACTCTGCAGCAGCATGTTCGGATGCATCTGGGGGGCCAGATCCCCAATGGTAGTACTACACTCCCAGAGGGTGGAGGAGCTGCCCAGGAGAATGGCTCTGAGCAATCTGCAGTCTCTGTGGTGGGAAGCTTCCCCCAGCAGCAGTCACAGCAGCCATCACTGGAAGAGGAATTATCTGAGGAAGAGGATGAGGATGAGGAAGAAGAGGAAGATGTGACTGATGAAGATTCCTTAGCAGGAAGAGGCTCAGAAAGTGGAGGTGAGAAAGCAATATCAGTGCGAGGTGACTCAGAAGAGGCATCTGGGGCAGAGGAGGAGGTGGGGTCAATGGCCGCAGCAGCCACAGCTGGGAAGGAGATAGACAGTAATGAGAAAGCAAATCAACAGTCTTCTCTACCTCCACCTCCGCCTCCACCTGATTGCCTGGATCAACCCCAGCCAATGGAGCAGGGCAGCAGTGACGTTTCAGGAGGCATGGAAGAGGTGGATAAACCAGAGAGGAGCTCAAGCCCTGAAACACCACTCAATCCAGAAAGAGAAGGCACTGGCACCCCCTTGGTGGAGGAGCTGAGCTTGCAGGAAGCTGGGAGAAAGGAGCCAGGAGAGAGCAGTGGCAGAAAGACCTGTGAAGTGTGTGGCCAGACCTTTCCCATCCAGGCAGCTCTGGAGGAGCATCAGAAGACACACCCCAAGGAGGGGCCGCTCTTCACTTGCATTTTCTGCAGGCAGGGCTTCCTTGAGAGGGCTACCCTCAAGAAGCATATGCTGTTGGCTCACCACCAGGTACAACCCTTTGCTCCCCATGGCCCTCAGAATATTGCTGCTCTTTCCTTGGTCCCTGGCTGTTCACCTTCCATCACTTCTCCAGGGCTCTCCCCCTTCCCTCGAAAGGATGACCCCACAATCCCATGAGCCTGTTTTCTGTACCTGCTTCCCTTTGATCTAGGGAACAGAAACTGTGAGCTCCGTAGAAGGACCTCCAAGATTTATGAGCCCTTATTTCATCTTTTTGCTCTAAGTTCTTATATCGGTGTCTCTAGTGGCTTTTCTCTAGTCCCCGAGCTTGGAAATTATTGTGCTTACCAGGGGATGGTCCCCTAAAGAATTTTTCTTCCCTCTTAATTCTTTTACCTGAGGAAAATAGGTTATGTAAGGCTTCACATTCTCAAGGGGAGCTTCTCCTTTTCCCTCTCCCTTTTCCTCTGGCAGGTGCACCTAAGCACAATCTTTGGAATTGCAGCCCAGCCCAAAGGGGCTGGCAGCTGTCTCTGGAGTGCTACTCCTCACTGATGACCAGGATTCTCTCCAGGATTTCTTGTCCCAGGACCTTCTGCCTAGCTGGTGATGGCGGGGGTGGGTTCCATACTTTCTGCAACCAGTGCACAGCTTTCCAGTCACATGGCCTGCTCACAAAGCCCTGGAGTTCCACCTCCATCTCTGTTACCACTTTAGACCTAGTACCATTAGTGCTGTTTGGTCCAGGAACTGTAGTGGAGAAGGTGGCCCCAACGATGGAATCCAGAGAAGCCAAGGAGAAGACAGCCTCCTTTCCTATTTTAGCCTCCTGTATTTAAGGCAGTGTCTAAAAAGCCCATCAGAAGAAAGAAGCAACAAACTGCATGTTCCTTCTCTCTCCTCCTGCTTCAGAAGGTGCTGTCAATGAAGATGTTCCAGTAATTAGTGATTTTTTACCCCAGGAGGTAGGGAGAGATGAAGGGCATAAAACACTCTTCCTAGTAAAGCCTTTGAGAGTCACATTAAAGCAAAGGTGTTGTCAGGTCAGTATGCCACCACATCTCCAACTTCTTAGTCATCAAGGATTTTTGAAGTTGAGAAACAAGCAGATTTCTTGCCAAGAGATCTCTTATAGAGTATTTTGGGAAATATGAAGTTAGTTTGTATCTTAATGAGCATTATTGGTGAGGGTGGTTGTGAAGTAATGGAGAGTTGAGGAATGTTGCTCAAGTATAGGGCTTGCTGGGAACTTACCTGATTAAGAAAGGGATATGATATATATAAAGGAGGGAACCTTGCATTCTTGTGAATGTGAGCATTCTCATGAAAGTTCTTTTTGGGCTACTAGTGACATAGTTTGCAGCAGTGCACCAGGGGAATCATGGGGGATTTCCTAGCACTAGTGTGCTTCTAGTTTTAGATAACTCCCTCCTTTATTACCTGGCCCCTTGTAATTTCCTCATCTTCCCCTCTCAAAACCCATTTCCTCCCCAGTTTGCGTGATCATGGACCAGGGCTTATGTCTTTGCCACTGTCTGGTTCTTAGAGCCCCAGACTTTGGGAGACAAGCTCCAGGTGATTCCTTCCTGCCTTTCTGTCTTGTAATGAGATGTAGTGTTTACTCTTAACATAGGATTTTTGGGAACAGGAGTTCTGAGGAGAGAATGAGGGTTCTCCTCTGAGGTAGTGGGCTCCAATGCTTCCTAACATAGTGAAAGCAGACAGGGGAGATACTAGTGTCTTCCCCTCCATCATTAAAAGTGTTTTGATCAAACATTTGTGTGTTTCTCCTTATTTCATGACTAGCCAGCAGGGGTGTGATATGGGCATTCCTAGTATGGAGATTCCCTTCCCACCTACATCTCCTGCCAAAACTGAACATATGGTGTTGAAATATTTACTCAGCCTTGTCCTAAAACAACCTCCAGTGAATATAATTTTCCTGTAGAGTTCATGTCTTCTAAAGGTAGAAATTTGCCCACTGTCTCTGGTTGTTGATTAGGTTTCCTAAGTTTAGCAGGCTTTTAAATTTTATTTTGTTTTGTTTGGAGGTTGGAAGCTGTTGGTCAGGCTTTCCCAAACTCCAGGCCAGCATGTCTAAATCAGTAAATCTGTAGAACCAAGATGACTCAAACTTTATGATCTTTGAGATCTGATGTAACCAGAAAGGGGTGAAAAAAGTAATCCAACTCTAATAACATACCAATTAAAAAAGAATTCTTGGGGATGGAGCTCAATGATAAGGTACTTGCCTAGCACATGTGAGGCACTGGGTTCGATCCTCAGCACCACATAAATAAAAGAAAGGTTTTGTGTCCATCTACAATTAAAACAATATGTTAAGAAAAAAAAGTTCTTAACATTAGGAATTCAGAGGTTGGGATAGAGCTTAAACAGTGCTTGCACAGCATGTACAAAGGCAGCGGGCAGAGGGGGGCGAGGGTGTTTACAGCTGCTTAAAGCTCTGGGTTCAATCTGTAGTACCAAAAAATAAAAAAAGCAGAATTTTCTTTTTTTCTCTTTTTTTTTCTTTAGTGAAGTTCAGATTTGTCTCTAAGATCTTACTTTCCTGGGTAAAAGTAAAAAGAATTGAATTTCCTGGGCTGAAGGTATAGCTCAGGGTAGAGACATGCTTAGCGTGTTTGGGACCCTGGATTCAAACCCCAGGACACACTATCCTCCCCCAGACCTGAAATTTAAATTTCCTTAATAGTCCAGAATTTATTTTCCTTAGTTAGATGATCATATCACTGAATCTTGGTGCCGAAGAGATTAAACTAATAAAACCATTTGCCCAATGTCATTTGTTCAACTGGTGGCAAAGTTGGATTAAGAGCCCACGTGGGCAGAATGAAGCCTTGGCGCTATTTCCAGTGATCAAGGATGGTGCTTGCTTCCTGCTACATCAAGGATCCATCCTGCTATATGGTGCTTGTGGAAAGATGGAAAGAGGTGAGTAAACCTTTTCTTCAGTTCAAGGTAAAGAACTGATAATTGATTCTAGTTACTCCCACCAGAGCAGAACAGGTCCCTTTGAACATATACCATGAATAGGGACACATGGGGCTCTTGGAAAGTCGATTGGGGAAGAAAATACTCCCTTTAATTCCTGGCAAAGCTGTTTTTCCTTTCTATGGAAAGAGGTAGGTTACGAATCCTTCCATTCTTTTCCCCACCCCCAATGGACATAGATAATGCTATTTAATTAAACCAGACTCAGCCTCCTCTTTAGGTGCCAGTTCCCATTATGGTGACAGCTGTCAGTGAGGATTCTATTGATGGAGACTTCCTGGAGCAGTGCAGCTCTAAGCCTTCCTCCCTGCTCCCTTTCACAGCTCTACTCTATTTTCCCCTCTGTCTGCTATGCATTCTTTTCCCTCTCATGTCCTGTTTTTTCTTTTCTCATTAACTTACCTGACAGTTTTTCTTTCTTTCCCCCACTCCCCTCTTCACTTCTTAATTTATTCCTCTTAGAGCCTTTAGTTTTGATCTAAGGTAGTGGGCTCTGTCCCCACCTTCAGACTTAACATTTCTCACTGTCAATTACTTCTCACTGGATCACCTATTTGGAAGCTGAATTAACTTGTTGGAATGAGTATATAAATAAACATAGTTTGTACATTTACTTTACATGTAATAACAGGACTTATATAAAGCAAGTGATAGCTTCATTTATTTGTTTTTATTAGTGTTATATGTTTTACATAATTGGGTTCATTTTGACATATTTATAAATGCACAATTTGCCCTATTTCAGTCCCCAGTACTACCCCTGTGCTGCTGCTTCTCCCTCCCCCTTATCACCTTTCTCTATTGGTATTCCTTCTGTTTTTTAAACTGGTGCATTATAGTTAGGCATTAAAGTGGAATTCATTGTGATATATTCATACATAGTATAATTCTGCAGTGCCTTCCCTTTCCCAAGAGATAGTTACTTTTCTCATTTATTTTTGAGTATTTACCTATTTCATCAGCCCAGCATTTGTTAGGTACAAAGTTAAATAAAACACTTCTGCCCTTAGGGATCTGTGTAGGAGGAGAGAGAATGTAAGGAGATATTTTCACGTGGTGGTAATAAGCACTATGACAGTTATGAACAATGTTCTGTCATATCCCAGCAAGGGAGATAATTAACTCATAATCCAATGTTGGAGAAGGGGCAGGGGATGTACAATTCTCTTAAATTTGTCTTTCATAATAACCACTCTGAAATATAGTAACTGACTTCATTCATACAACCCACCAATGCAGTTACCATTTAAGAACCTACATAAGCCGGGTGCAGTGTCTTGGGAGGCCAAGGCAGGAGGATTGTGAGTTCAAAACCAGCCTCAGCAAAAGTGAGGCACTAAGTAATTCAGTGAGACCCTGTCTCTAAATAAAATACAATATAGGGCTGGGGATGTGGCTCAGTGTTTGAGTGCCCCTGAGTTCAATCCCTCATACCCCACCCTATCCCCCAAAAAAGAAAAGAACATATATAAGATCCATAATTCTTTGTCAGACACAGATGTGTTTCTTTCAAGATGCCCCTTCAAGAAAACTGGCTAGCTACAATCTCATTGTTTTACTATATGACCAAAAGCAAAATACTCATTAGGATTAGTTGATCTGTTCACTGCTAACCCCACCCCAATCCACCCCTTGAACTGAGGATTGACCTCAGGGGTACTCTACTACTGAGTTACATCCCCCAACCCTTAGCAGATGAAGTACAGCTGTACCACTATTCCAGACCCTAGTTAAAAATTGAGCAAGGGGCCAGGCATGGTGATGCAAGCCTGTAATCCCAGCTGCTCAGGAGGCTGAGACAGGAGGATCATGAGTTCAAATATAGCCCCAGCAATTTAGCGAGGCTCTATGCAACTCAGTGAGACCCTGTCTCTAATATAAAAAAGGACTGGGTATATGGCTCAGTGGTTAAGCACCCCTGGGTTCAATCCCTGTTGTTTTTTTTTTGTTGTTGTTGTTTTTGTTGTTTTTTTTTAATGAACAAGGTACAAGAAACAAGAGCTTAGCATTTCCATGGGACATCCCTCTTTATGAGAAATCTGTTCTGGAACTCCCCACTGGACATCGAGGTCTGACAGATCTCATTGCCCAATTCCACTTTCTCCTGCCTTTCCTTTTATAGGGGTTATTCTCCAATAAAACTTGTTATTCCTGTCTCAACATTTGCTGCTCAGAATTCATTTTGTTTCACTCCTGAAAAAGACCCAGATTCTTTTCTTTTTGGTACTGGGGATTGAACCTGAGGGCACTTTACCACTGACTTCATCCCCACTCCTTTTTATTTTTAAATTTTGAGACAGTGTCCTTCTTGATAAGTTGCTGAGGCTGGCCTTGAACTTTCAGTCTTCCTGAGTTCCTGGGATTACAGGCATGTACCACTGCACCTGGTTTCCCAGATTCTAATTGGTGCATTTTTGTCTCTCATAAATTCCTGCACCTGGCATTCCAATTACCATCCTTGGAATTGAGTCAACCAACAAACATTATCTCCTGATCCCCAACCAGATTTCACTAGTTTTACTCTCAGAGCCCACTTTGACTTCCCTTTATAGTTCTCGTTTCTAACCTTATTTAGTAATTGTAGATTAACTGGGTGCAGGGGTGAATTCCTGTAATACCAGCTACTCAGGAGGCTGAGGCAGGAGGATCACAATTTGGCAAGGCCAACTTGTTCAATACTTTAGCGAGACTCTGTCTCAAATAATAAAAAGGTCTGGGGATATAACCCAGTAGCAAAGTAAGTGCACCTCTGTTCAATCCCCAGTAGGAGGGTGGGATATGAACAAATTGATTAATCCTAAAGGGCATTTTGCTTCAGGCATATAGTTAAAAAAAATGGGTATGATCAAGATTTAAGGAAAACAAAAACATTCTGCCAGAGAACCAAATAAGGTATTCATCATTTGGTCAATACTGTGACTATTCCAGTAATTCATTACTATGTAACAAACCATTCCAGAACCCAGTGACTTAAATAATGTATTTATTTATGATTCCGTGGACTCCTTGGGCAGGCCCTGCTAGGATGGCTGGCTATGCCCCATGTGATGAGAACTGTGCTCATTCAGGCAGCTTTGATTTGGGTTGGAGGATTTGTGGCCTCACTCCCAGCCCCTAGGGTGGAGGGTTATATTTTTTTTTTCTTTTTCTTTTGGTACCATGGATTTTGTTCAGGGGCACTCAACCACGGAGCCACATCCCCAGTTCTCTTTTTTATTTTGAAACTTGGTCTTGCTAAATTCGCCCATTATTGACCTCAGTCTTGCAATCTTGCCTCCTCACAGGCATCTGGGATTACATTCAGTTTCCTTGTAGTCTTTCAACCCCTAGGGTCTATGATGGTAACTGAACTCCCATGAAGGCTTAACCCCAAAAAGGCAAAAACAAACTGCAAAGCCTGTGAGGGTCCAGGCTTAGGGCATTATCATGTATGCCACCTTGTGACTAGTCAGAAGGCCAGCTCAGATTCAATAGTAGGGGAAATAAACTTGACAAGAAGAGTGACAAAGTCATACTGCATAAAGGAATGAGGAATAGGAGGCATTACTGTGGCCAACTCTGGAACCAATCTTCCACAGCACACAGGAGAAATAGTTAAAATGTAAAATGTATGCAGCGCTTATCTGCTCACAATTAGGCTCACACTCTTTGCTAGATGTTGTTGCCCTCCTTCACCACACTGCTTAGGATTCTAAATGTAGAGTGGCCAAGTGTGGGCAGACAGTGGTTTTCTTTTGAGCAGC